GGAGCTTGCTTGGGCCGCAAAAGCCAAGGTGGCTTAGCCATTGTGACCGCATTGACTAAATTTATTGAATAAGCGTCTTTAACCATAGCCGAATCGTGCTTGAGATTTATAAGGGCTTGACATTCGGCAGCCAGTTCTTGGAGGGTAAATGATCTGCTCTTTTGCACAAAGGACAAAAGGCGTGTCCGGATGTCAGCACCTAAGGGGTACTGGAGGCTGCAGCTGAAGATAAGGCATTTAAACTAGTATTCTGTGAGAGAGCCGAGTTAAAAACGCCCACACTCGCGATTCACAATGCCAGTATACGTGATGAAATCGTCGAATTCCCGTTTGCACAGCTGGAGGCACTGGAATCGGGTGTTGAACAGTGGTGACTGCTCACCGAAAATTTGCGACAACGCCTTCAGCGTGTCCGCGGAGAAAATTTCCTGTGGATGCTTCGGTGGGATGAAGTTGGCCTAGCGTTCGTGCTCAGCAGTTCTTAGTTTGCGAAGGAGAAGCCATACCTTCCATGCGTCTTCTTCGGCAGCCAGATCGACAGAGAATAAATCCACGTATAGTTTGTACCAAGAGTCAAAAGTAACTTGGGCCCGCGGGTCAAACAAGAATGCGGTGATGCTGCTGGCGATGGAATCGACAGATTGTGAGCCACCGGCAGAACTCGATTGGCCGGTACATGAAGTGAATAGCTTGGAAATGAGGGGTTGCATCAGCCTTAGCCGCTATTGCAACATAAGCTTGAAATCCACGCATAATTCCTCCATCGTAGAGAGAAAAAATACTTCGTCGATAATTGTTAAGAGTCGCTACTCGTACTTCTAATACATACGAACGCCAAACCAAAGAACCCGTAGGCGAGAGACAGAGAAAAAACCTGTCGGCCAGAGCGAGAAAAAGTGAGTTTACTCAAACAAGCACTTTAAGCAAGCCAGCATAATTCTTTGAGGGTTACAGGTACAACATATTTAGGGCAACAAAACGAGTTTAAGCTAGGTCCATCGAACCAATCAGCTTCTGTTCTGGCTTGGCTCCCGGCACGTTTGGCTGTGACTCATCGGCAGAATGCTGTTGAGATTTTGGATTATTGATTGATTGATTGCCTGCATGCGTTCACCTCGTGTAGGCCGATCGATAGCCTGCTAAAATTGCGGCCGCTTGCTGCATGCATTCAACAGTAGTGCACTTCATTACACATTAGTCCCAGTACATTGTCCTAAGAAAACGGTAGTTTTAAGTTTTTAGGGGTGTGGAATTAGGGACGGCACCGGCATATACCTTAATAACTACTATATGCCTTTTATTTGATTAGATAAGAAATGTTGATTGATATCTATAGATTTTCCTAGTCAACACTATCGTTTAACGTATTGCTGAGTAACCCGATTATAAAACGTAAGGTTTCTTGACATTACGGAAAAATTGAAATAGTGGTTAGGAAGTAGTCTACTGCAGCTTAGCCGAAGTCAAACTTACCGTACTGGAATAAGATTACTAGTGTCCGCGTAATTTACCTGTAATTTACATGTGTAACGACTTACTCCCGACGGCCGCAGGAAACAAATTCGACTTCATTTTGTTCACTTAACGCTTACTTCAAAATATTTCCTTCGCCACTTGTACTATTTTCGCACCCCCAAGAACCCTATTACAACCGTCTCTGTAGGAAAAAACATGCTGGGCCTAGGGGTATATGAGGTGCACTACTGAAACAACTCTTGCCGCTAAATTAAACTGTATTCCCTATCCAAACTGACTTCCAAAAATGGTCTTTGTAGGGATTATTTTTCGTCGATACACAAAATTGTATGTGCCAATGCAAAAAGAAAGGGAAGCAGAGTATTCTAACCCGCACAGGAACTGAAATGGTGACTAACATTGGCATTCGGGTTGGACAGAAACGGTGCCAATGACAAGATTCTCTATGACAGTTTTCCATTTAGAATTTTTTCGTCAACCAGGAAAATCAGCCTCTTTAATGTTCAAGTGAAGGGAACTTTCGACAAATATTAACCAGTAGGACATTAGGGTCACACCTCCCAGAAGTCGGAGTACGACTCTGGGTTTTGACGAAAAGAAAGAGTACCTCGCCGCTATCATCCAAACAGACTCTTTCATTAGAGGTCGCATTCGGTTTACCCAAACAAATTCATGTAAGCTTGCACTTTTATCGCAACTTCTAGGACCACCTCTGTTGTTGCGAGTTGCACAAAAAACACAATGGAAGTTAGTACTTTTAAAAAGTTCTACTTAAGCCAAGCTAAAAAAGGAGACAGATTTTCAAAATGGACCACTTTGATGCACCGAACGAACGGTAAGTGCGAATTATGTTCCTCATACCACGAACAGGATTTCTGCGAAAGATGTCATACAAGAATATAACAAAGATCAAAATGGCACTGTTAGTCTCAGCGAATCATATGAATTTCTCAAGCCTGCTATGCCATGGTTGAACGAAGGGGTGCTAAGGGAGACACTGGCGGAATTTCACAAGGATGAAAGCGAAGAACTTGATGAGGCCGAACTTGAGATAATACTTATAGAACTTAAAAGAGGAGAAGGTAATCAACAATTGGCTGAGGATGTAGACAGTTTTAAATGATTATTGCTTATCAAATATAAATTGTAATGCAAAGTTTCTTTTGGAAAACGATAGGAAAATGGATGATGTACATGTTTTGGATAGATTTCCCAGTTCATCATTGGACATGTGCACAGAGCGGTTAGCATTTTAAACCTGACTGAATAAAAAGCAATAGTGACTAGACATCCTTGGTTATAGCTGACTCTTGTTTGCCTCTTGTTCGGATTGGCTGCCATTATCGAGATTATTACACACGGTTTTCGGGTTCAACGAATAAACAAATCGTTGGAGTTAATAGCCTCCATAATTTTTGCCATTCCTGTGCTATATATGAGCTATCACTGCAAGTTTGGCCTAATTCAAATGTGCTCCCTCTCTCAAGGGCGGATCCGTCTCTATTTTGCTCATTATATTTCGTTTAGTCGAATGTAGACTGATTTTCCTGTTCGACCACAATATTCTACATTTTAACTACCACAGGGAATACTGTAAGCGACTTCTTTTCTGTCCCATCCGAGCAGGCAAGTACACAGTTAATTTTGCAGTGGACTCGTTGGTTTTTGCTACTACCCGGAATAACTATTTTAGAAAACACCCTGGGTGCGTAATAAAGTTCGATTTAGCAAGGTAAGGCGCTCGAAACTTTTGTTTTTGCTCAGCCGATTAGAATGTTAACAGTACTTTTCTCGCGAGCGGTAGGCTGACTGCTCTCGTTAAATATAATTACATTTGCGCACGTTTTTATGCAGTTAAGTGAAATTGAAAATGCCCCGTTAGGCTTTTGCGGTACGAGGATGCCAACAAACGGGTGTCTTCGAGTAACTTCCTTTTCTAATGTCATTGCTGAGATAAAAGGGTCTTAACGTAATTTAACCTGATCCCATCCAATATGGTGGATGTGGCACCAACATATCACACCCAAATTTTCAGGGGTTAACTATGAAAAAGCAGTAGATTCCAAATTTGCATCGTGAGTTACGCGAAGAAGCCCGAGGTTGGTGACTGTATGTGGTTCCCCATGGCTGTAGGTAGTATTGCTATAAGACTGTTCCCAGCTAGGCACTAAAAATGATGGCTAACTTTTCATCAGCACAACATACCCATCAGTTTGGGGTTAGTAAGTAGAAAAGCAGAAGACGCGATTTTTCGTCGACGCGACATAAGTCAAGAAGCCCTAGATCCGTGACTGCATGGGAGTTCCCAAGACCTGTTAATCGTATTGCTATAAGAAGACAACTATATTTTCCAAGCATACATTTTTTATATCCTGCCTCTTATGCTTCGTTGAGTTACACAAATATGATCATACGCTTGACATTTTCGTGCACCATATATTTCAGACACCGTCAGACTACGCGACCTATAAAGACGGTGATAAAAGTAGACTGCTTGCGAATATCTCCTGGAAAGGGGCGTAGGGCAGACATATTGATCCTAGCCAAAAAAATTACGGTTTTAAAGGACTACTTACAACGTTGCGTTACGGTTTTACTTCCTCGTATTACAGGCAAAGACCGTACCTCATAGGAGTTGGCCCTCCCCCCACGCGTTCTTTAAAATCATTTGTACGGGATAAATTTATGCAAAACAAATGCTACTGAAAAACTACGAGTATGGGATCCTCTCTCAGTGAGGGAAATGTGCAGTGATTCACCTCACCTGACTAACGCACATCTCCGATTCAGCAGCACATCAAACCGTCACTGACCTTTCAATCAACAACAGTTGACCTTAGCCCTTAACCCTAAAATCCGTTTTAAATATACGGTGTTTATAGTGCACGTACCTAGTTGGTAGTCAAGAGGATGAATTTTACTTAAAAACCGTTTAAGGTGTAGATAGTACAAACTGCAGACCCTCCTCAGTCCGCTCAGTAATTTAACCCTTTCCGTAATGTTGACCCCTTTACGGTAAATTTTTCTACTGAAAGGTCCGTTGCCCCTCCACTCCTCCATTAATCACTTTGTTAGTTAACCCAAACCGAACGTTTCAATGACCATTTAATCTTTGCAGGACTCCTATCAGTTTTAACATTCCTCCTGCATGTGCCCGATTTATTGACTGGAAGCCGACGAGCTCGTGGCTCAATTGTTAAGGCATTATATACTCATGAAAATTATCGCAAGCTGGAGCCTCGACTGGCGCACCACTTGATGCTGGGTATAATTGGCTGACAATGGCTAATAAGCCAGAAGGCGCCATTCCAGTCTCGTTTGCCTTTGACGGCAATAGTAACAGCCTAGACGTCAAGCCGTTTTTCAGCTGCTGTCAGGGCCCGAGAAATGAGAATCAAGGCAGAACGTGATGAGTGATTTTCCTTGTTCAGCGCTTAACAGAAAATGATAATAATTTAAAGAATTTGTTCCCCGGTAAAAAAAAACTTAAAACAGGCGTTTGAGGAAAAACGTGTTGATATCAATAAATTTCGTGACAACTACTCAGCTGCATCTTTTCGATACATGCTGATGATGACGAAGATAACATACAACAGTTTTAAATTTCACAGAATCGATGGTATAACAGCAAGGACCCTGGCTCATTTTAAATACTAATCGATACAGGACACTACGTTAAGTCAATATATACGATGAAAACGGGAGAGGGTAAGGGAATTAATGGAAAACACATGGGGATTAAAAGATAGTGACATATTACCAGGGTAATCGGAGGTAAACCACATGATCAAGCTGCTTGCCTAGGTCGGGTTTTTCCTACCGTATGGGGGCAGCTTCCAATAGCGCAGAGTTTGACTTGCTCGAGCCCGACCAAGTACTCTAAACGCTGTTTCGATGTCGACAGAATGACAGTTGTCTATTATATGCTTGGTAATAGAGGACCGCGGTACGCTGTCTTCTTGCTTGAAACTACAGTTGGGCAAGTGCTCAGCGGCCCTGGCTGCCAGTCGCCTTTTCGTACGCCTAATGTTATTACATCCACAATTAAATGCAAATTCGTACAAACAATATTAACTGGCGTACAAAGACAAGGCGTCCTTTGCCTGCTTTACTGGAATGCTTTTAAGATGACAAGCCAGGCTGCGTTGTAGGTCCTTTCTATAGTACAGCGCAACTGTCGTTTTATTGTATTAGAAATGTCATCACCTTTAAAGGGTAAGGATATAATAACAGG